CGCGCACACACACACATCCTTTTACTTGGCAGTCATTGTGGCAGCTTGGCGCTTGTTGTCTCTCAAAATCATCCCATCTGCCTCACCTACGCATTTCAAGTCAAAAACTCAAAAAAGGTGACACAAAAATGTCACGTCAACTGCAAAATGATTATGCCACAAATGCATGTTCCCATTTGCTGCCTGTTTAAACCCTGGTACTGTTCTGTTAGGAACGAAACGGGGTCTAAAAGATGCAGAACCTGAAGCTCTGTTTTAAATTAGGTGATGCAGACTTGGCTAAAACCCTGCAGGTTTTTTGATAGATGGGGAGGAAATATGAATACAATATTAAAAATCTTAGTGCTTTACAATTATATCTAGATATTTACTGCTGTTTTTTCTTTATTGGTGAAAGATATTGTAGAGCACCAGGTCTGACTGTGGCAAATCCCCTTTTCTGTGGATCTGATTATAGTTGAGGAAAGAGGTGTTCGATAAAGGTGAGGTTGCACTACCTGGTTATGTATGTGGTTATACACGCACACACACCAAGTACATCATTTAAGCACAGAGGATGCCAACAGTTTCCAAGTTGTTCCTGCACCTATGCCGTCATTAAAATGAACAACTGCTGTTCCAACAAAACTCCAGTCACATACCTATGAAGGCGGTGGCAGCAGAGGCTGCAGTTGAAGTAAATTTTAAAAGACAGTGAAAAGTCTGAGATGAGGGTTACACTGCGACATCACCGTGTAGTACTCATGAGGTCTGTCATAAAAAGCCAGAGATACAAAGGGGCCATCCAGACGCTGCATCAAAACAACCATCCAGAGTTCATCCCAAATGAAAAGTGATTCACATCTTCATCTAACAGCAACATGGCCAGGAGAAAAGAATACAACAGAGTCGGGAGAACACCGCAGCCTCCGTGTGCGTCTAGATCCTTCAACAAACGCGCAAACAATTTGCACAATTGACAGAAAACCCCGCGGTTCCTGCAGCACCGACCAGTCCACGCGTGCTTTTAGACACTGACATTCAGAGATTGCGATGGAGAACAAGAAGTGTGCAGATGGAGGAGTCGGCGAGTGTCACCAACATTCTGGATGTTGGATTAGAAATGAAACAATAACAACTCCAAGTGATGACAAACACGAGGAAAAGTTTGGCAGTACTTACTGTTAGATCATGGTCCCGTCCTGATGGGCATGTCAGCAGGAGAGAAGAGCCGCAACAGCAGCAGACATTTCCATTCCTTCTTTGACAGCAGCGACAGAAGCAGCAGCGAGAGCAGCGAGAGGATCCGGTTCCAAAGCTCAGCTCTGCAGCTCCGTGCGCACAGGAGAGCAGCGCTCAGCATGAATGAGAGCGGAGCTGCGGTTTGGCTCTGGCATCCTCCTGATGGTGGGGATGGAGAGATGGAGAGAGAGAGAGAGAGAGAGAGAAGGGGGTGTGCAGAGAAAAGGAGGGAGAGAGTGTTTGTTAGCGAAAGGACTGCGCCCCCTGGCTGCGTGATCACATTATATTCACAATTCAAAACGCATCTCTCCATGACGCGCATAGGTGGCAGTATTGTACCCGCCACTGAGTCCGGGGTTAGAATAAGACTCGTGAATGACTAAATGTTTTTTACAGCAGGGGTGTTAAAAGTTCAATGAGTTAGACTGGAGGAGAAGGGTGATATTGAGGGGGGTGATTTATTTTTTTAAAAACTAAACAAAACAAAAACAAACAAACAATTGGCCCTAAAATCGACTTTAAAACTTGTGATTTCAGAATTACACGTTTGTGTTCAATATACACTTGAGGAAATACAGCTGCCATCCCAATGGACTGACGCTTCTGTTATTATGATACAGAGAATGCACAGAGACACGCTGGACAACCCACCCCACTGGGTGTGTACTAGTGCGTTTGTGTTAGTGTGTCTGTAATAACATTCACTTCAAGCTCAACAAATCATTTATTCCCGCAGCACTGACCTTGGTTGTACGCTCTGACCACTAGCTGCTGTGGCTAAATTAAAAGTGCACTGCAAAGTTACATGAGTAATAACTGTAAACTCCTAACAGATGATGACATCACTTTGTCCATGACAATACATCAAACACATCTATCAATCCACCATCTTAAAAATGTGTGTTTGTAATAATGATACTGAGGCAAACAATTGATTTATTGTATATCTAAACTAGGGGTTGGGGACCAATCATAGCCATTGAACAGACAAGGACTGCTACCTCTTCTGAAATTCATCAGTTAAGATTTAGAACTTTGCAACAACAAAAAAGTGGGGACACAGTTAGAGACCTCATATCTTTGTTTTGTTTTGTTTTTGTTTTTTTAATCAAAGGAAACATTTTCATAGCATTTTCACCTATTTTTGCCAATAAAAAATACCTTCTCAGTGGTCACAGATGGCCACCACTGTGTGTTTGTGCTCTTACACCAGAGACTGTCCTTGATGGACAGATGTGGACTGCAGGCAGGACAGGACAGGACAGTTAAACACACCCTTACAAATAAACACAGCTATTTTTTGTCATTTTTACAGAATGAGACTTGGTTGGTTTCCCTGAAACATCAATGCTGTAAGAACAAGTTGTTTATCAAATTAAACCTTTAGCCTCTTCAAACTTAATAGAAATGTTACCATTTGAACTAATAATTAAGGAACCAATTGTTTGAGCTGTTCAGTATTGTTTAATTTTATACAGTAAACTTAAGTTAAAAAATTTAAAAAATCATTTCTGCTTTTCTTGCCCGATAACGTTTTTTAACATAAGTGAAAGATTTTTATTTGAAATCTCCAATAGTTCTGCAAGTCTTAAATAAAAAAATATTATTTGGGAAAAAATAGATTTGAATTGGATCTTTAAAACAATGAAAGGAGGTTTCACAGCTCTTTGTTCCTCTTTGGGTTTGTATAGTATTTCTCCAATCTGGGCCCCTGCTGTAACCTTTGTCTTCCCCTTGTGCATATTAAATGCTGTTATTTCTGCCCATATTTGTGATGACTAGGGAATTTTTACAAAGGGAGTTGAGGGCTCAGGTTGCGGCTCTCTACACCGAGGTAGAGGATGTGGTTTCCTGGATGACACTCGACTGCTCAGGTTACTGTACATATGCATGCATATGTGCATGTCTTTTCTGCTCTCACTCCCATTGTTTCATGTGCAGCCTTGATAAAGCTCTGCCCTTCTCACAATTCATTCCTTTCCCCCCTAAAAACATCTGAGTCATCCACATTGTTCCTTATTCTGCCTGTGCAGCTGAAACCTTTATCATTTCAAAGCAGAGTTCTACTAAATGTTGAAAGATTTGTGCTTTCGCATTGTTAAAAAGCAGGAGCCTCAGTGAAAAACCGTCTGATTTATAGGTGGCAAAGAGGTTGCACCACATTTATGCGTTGGAGTAAAAAACAGTTAAATTTATTGCAAATTATTAGACCAAGACAGAAGAAACACACAAGATGAATAATGCTCATACTTTTGTTTGACATTTAAAAATTTCTAACTGGAAGGTACATATAAATATATTTCTACACAGCTTCATAAAACCTGAGTGAGATCATTCTGCTGACAATATCTGGTAACACTCTGTGTCTTCATAAAATCATTTTTTTAGTTTATAAACGGCACATAGAGACAATTTGTCTCAGTCAATAACTGTTGAAAAGTCTTCAGGGTCTGATAATCTGTCACTGCTCCTCTGACATGTTAATGTATCTACCTGCAAGGGATCATTTCATACAGTCTACCAAATGAACATTTTACAATATTATGCTGTTTGTTGATATAAAGTTCTTGTAATAAAGTGACAAAAACAGCTGAGGATAAAATTTTATGCAGCTTCAAGCTCGTCTGTTTTTATTTCCACATTGGTGTCACAACAGTGGTGGAATGACGTACATAATGTAACACGGAGCTGGAGGGAGACTTATACACACCAGAGGAGTTGTCTTCTGCAGGTGTTTGTCTGTGTCTTTACATGATATCGGGATAATGTGAAATTCTATGTTAGTCGAGGGATAACTGGATATTTTAACGTACACGTAAACCCACCAGCTAAAAAACATTTTCAAATTCAAATTCAAAAAAATTAAACTGTCAAAGGTAACCAGGTTTAGGTACCAGGCTTTAAATTAGAAATAACAGAAGTAGCATTTGCTAACACTTTGCTAACCCTTTAAAATAAACATAAAACTTTACTTACACACTATTAATGTAAATAGTAAAAATCAACCCACTTATATGAATGCACAACATGTAAGAAATATTATATAAAAGGTAAGAATATTAATGGGATACATACAATAGTATATAACCAATCTGGCCTGCTAACAGTGCTAGCTACAGCTCGCCACTAGCTAACCTCCTCCTGAGCTTAAGATATAAAGTAAGAGAAGTCAACAAGTAGTGACCTGAACACTTGCATCATAAGGTTAACTTTGAGGCTAGCTCATGTTAATTTGTGAGCTAGCCTCATTTTACCACAACTTTATAAAGATATAAAATCACTTCACCCACCAACAGCACATGTCCACTCTCCTTCTGGAGCTACCAAAATGGCCGACCACAAAATTACACCTTATGTATGGACTGTATGTGGTGAATTTGTCTTCAGCATCATAATTTTTAATTTAAAGAAGAGGAAAAAACATCTCTTCTTTTGACTCATAAAAAGTGTCTTATGAGCAACTGAAAGCAGATAATCAGAGCCGAGGTTTGGTGACGAGCAGCCAAGTCATTGCACTGAAAAAGCAAAAAGACGAAGAAGCAAACTAGACATTTCTGTAAATGAGTCACTGCTTTCAACTTGTTAGTACAAAATGTTGACGAAAGCACAGCGGCTCTGCTTCCACAATTGGCCTTGGTGAGCGTGGCCTGTCAGCATGGAGCTGCTCCTGGTGTGAATGAAAATACAATCTCTCTCTCTCTCTCTCTCTCTCTCTCTGTCAGCCTCTCATTTTCTGTTTTGCTTGTATCTCCTTCCATCTTACTCATTCCAACAGAGCCTTGATCAATAACATTTATTTTATCCCCAAAAACACCAGCTGATGCCAAATCATAATTAAATCTCCACAGAAGCGTGTTTGAGAAAGAAGATAATTGGGTATTAAAATAACTGTTTCTCTTTTCTTTTTTTTCCAAACACAGAATCACATGATCCCTTTTCAGTACCGAGTTGAAGAGTTGACATGTATGCAAGTGTCAAGAAATTTTAAAAAAAATTTCAGAAGGGGTTATTAATGAAACCTTCTGGTTTTTGTGTTTGTTTTTGATCTACAACAAGACTGAGAACAAATACAGCAGTAATTACCAGGAGGAAAAAAAACGACCAGGAGAAAGATGATATTACGAGATGGAGGGAAAAGATTTGCCAGAAAAAGGGAGGTGAGTGACAAAGAAGAAAAACGGCAGAGTGGGTGGTGGTGGTGGAGCAGTTCAAAGGACAAGCTTGCTTTTTTGTTCCATTTTGTCCTGGCTTGATCTCTGTCACATATATGATGCACACCCCACAGGTGTAGTAACAACCGCGCACACACACACTCACACGCGGGGCTAAAAGACCAGACTTCTCTTTGGCTGTCTCCTTTTGTCGCGTCTGTAATTACAGCCGGGCCTGGGATGAACAGCAGGAGAGGCTGCGGATGCTGATGCTCACACTAACTAGCGTTCTTCCTTTGAAACTGTACATCTGTGATCGTGACACGAGCCTGGATGAATAACGGCTACGTGGAGTACAAGGTGACCGGCTCTCGTTTGCATTGTTTGCAAGGACCACAGTGAAACAAAGCCCAAGTGCTGAAGCTTTTCATCTCTGAAATTACACTTGGTCTTTGCTCTGTGCATTGTTTTCTCTGGATGCTGCCCATTTAGATAAATGCTTCCTTTTTTGCACACATGGTTTGTCCAGCACAGTCTGACTAAGAGGTAAGGTTTTTGGAAGCCATGGATGGAATGTAAAAAAAATAATGCACAAAGCAGCAGAACTTTGAACGCTGAAGCTTTGTTCTTTATTTTTCCTTTTGTTGTTGTTGGTTTTGTTATGTTTTTTTTTATACAAAACTATGTTTACTTGATCCCTTGATTGTGTATTTACATGAATTAAAGCAAAAGAAAGGGATGTGCATAAGTAAACATCACATGTGATGATAGCTAGAACCGCCTGTCAGCAGGACACAATGTGGTGAGATGTGGTGAGACTGAGCCTTCAATTACAGTAGATGATCCTGTTGAGTATTTTTTCCATGGCCCGCCCAAACCACCATAGAAAATATTGGACATTCCCCTCAGCATAATTAGCTTTACAGAACCAGCACACTGCATTTACACAAACCTGTTAAATGATAAGATTTTGTAGTTTTGGCACACACTGTAAAAGTATACACAACG